TTTACCTAGGCATGGGACAACCTCTTTATTGTAGTAGAAGAGATGAAAGAAACTGTAGGTGCCTATGCAAGTTGTTTTGTAAGATGGTTTGTATGAATATTGGGGAGAGCATTAGGATGATAAAGACATTTCCATCTGGGAGCCTCTATTTTCTTTGTAAAGCAGGAGGTGAGATCATCTGCTGAATATGGAGATTTGGATTCGGAAAGGGATTTGGAGAGGGAGGAGGGTGTCAGAAGTTTGATGAGACTTGAAAAGTTTTCACATGGTTGTGGCGAATTGGAGAGTTTTTCAAAGAGACAAAGTAAGGCTTACAAAAAGTATTTTAGGGCTTTTTTAAGTTTGGGAATTACTAATTTATAATCGAATGAATGTTACCTGGTGTGACACTTTCTTATGCAGAGCTCTGCTACTCTGGAAAAGAAACAGAATTCAGATGTGCAATGGTTTCATTCAGGCTTGTGATTCAGCCATCCAAATGGAATGAGAAAAACAGAAGCAGGGACATCACAAAGTATGTTATTAAAGGTAAAACTCATGGATGATCAGCTTGATAAGAAGTGAAGCAAAGTAAACAAAAGGCTTATGCAACAGGAAACAGTAGAGAGAACAAAGGACTGGGAAGAAAAAGTGTGTCTTAAAAATGGTGTAGAGTATGTAGTTGGGTAATAGAGGTGGATTTGGAAGTGTGGTCGTTAGAAAAAGTGGCAACTCCAAGCTGTGACTGCTGAGTGGATGGTTGAAGTGGAAAAGGCAAGAAGAGCATTGGACATATGGAGGCCATGTTGATGATGGATCATTAAGATGAATATTGTCATTGGACAGATAAATATCATGGTTTGGGTTAGAAAAGAAGACTGTGAAACTGGTGCCATAATCTTGGTTTAGTTTAAGTTCATCTGGGCTATTAAAGTGTGAAAAAAATATGCTTATACAGCAGATGCAAAGTCAAGATGCGTTATTTTTCTGGATCTATTTGCTGAGAACTCTTCTTTCAACTATTAGTTTCTAGGATAAGATGAATCTGATTTTACTGTGAAATGCAGGTGGCTTTTATTTCAGGTCTTTGCATAGCTTAAGAGACATTATTAGCACCTAAGTGAAATTTGCATAGACAAATGAAATATTCTGCCATAATCTTCAGAGAAAAACAAGGGAGCAGGATGTCAGTTGCTGCTAACAATGAGAAGGTGGTAAATGTAATGATGTATGCTTCAAAAAGAGAAGTGACCATATGGGAACTTTAAAGGAGAGCAAGCTCAATGGCAATTTACTGTCTTGACCATGAAGTTCATAAGATGGTGAGAAAATAACCACAACTTGAGAGACTGGAGTCTTTTAGAGACGAACGAGAGGTCAATTAAAACCTGTAGAAAATGAATATTTTGAGAAGAGCCTGAGGATATGGGGGATTTGCAGGTTTTGGAGTGGCAGTTCCAGAGGATAACATGCAAGGGTGTGGGAAATGAGGGAGAGATAAAAGGCTGGGTTCGGGGCAAGGGTGGCCAGAGCAATGTGGGAATGATAAGCTTGTTTTGAAATGATAAAGAGATAAGAAAAGAATTATTTCACCACAATTTCGACAATATAAAATGAATGTTATGGCATACATGCCTTATATCTATCAGGATTCACGAGAGTTGGACAAAAAAATATAGTGTACAAAATTCTGCCGAATCAACAAGGGACAGAATCTTATTAATGGATGCTGGGCTTAATACCTAGGTGATGGGTTGATAGGTGCAGCAAACCACCACGGAACACGTTTATCTATGCAACAAATCGGTGCATCCTGTAGGTATACCCTGGAATTTAAAAAAATAATAAAATAATAGAAAAAGAAAACATTAAGACATGCTTAATAAGGAAATATAAAGAAATAAAGTATTAGTAAATGAAGCAACTTAGAACAAACTAAAATATCTAAATAATCATTTCATTATAACTATCTTTCTAAGTGGCTTTCAAAACATACGTAAACCCTTAATAGAAATGCTATCAAATCCTAATTTATGTGTAAATTTGATTTTTAATTTAACTGAGTGTACATACATTCAATTTGGGTGCTGTCCCATTGAAAATACATTTGAGTGCAACAGATTGTGAAATGTGGTTTATAATTGTGTGAAAGTAGATCTCATTAAACCATAAAGAAACATAGTGTAGAAACAATTGTACACCAAAGAAAGATGATGTGCTTACTGAAACATGATGAATATGTATGTGTGTGTGTATACACACATATATGTAGCTGTGTGGTTAGAAGAGCAACCAGAGCTGAAAGGTACCAAAACAAGCAGTGGTAAAATTGGGGAGATCTCATATGATAATTTTGAGTGAGGTGTAATTAGGAAGGACATGTCTAGCATTGTTTTTCATCTTATGGATGTTTCCAAAATACCCTGGCATGTGATATCATGCAACTTACGTAAAATTGCTGAGAAAGTAACTGACAAAGCCAGAGCATGGTCGATAGTGAATAAAATTGGGATCTGAAAGAGCAGAGACAGAGTCCATATTCACCTCCTCTTGGCTGTAGGCCTTCACCAAGCAAATTAGGCTGAACCTCATTTTCCTCATTTGTAAAATAAAGATCATCATAGCTATTGGGAGGATTGCTGGCAGTGGTGGGGTGCAGTGTGATCACTGAGCATGGGCTTGGAAACCAGACTTCTGGGTTCAGATCCCAGCTCTGCAGTTGTTCATCTCTCTTGGGATTCAGAGCTTGCCTCTGTAAGGGAGATAATCGCACCACTTATCTCAAAAGGCTATGGTCAGAATCAGATAAATATATGCCTCTTAGAATACAGCCTGATGCATAGTCCTAGTTGACGCATTCATTTATATCCAATAAATATTTATTTGGAAAAATTTAATTTATAGTATTAATTATAAAATAGTATTACTAATAAGAGATTATTAGTAGTAGTATCATTAAAGATGTTTTGTTAGGGTACCCAGTCAAGAGAGGAATATGTATGAAGGTAAACAGTTTTAGTTGAACCCGAATACTATTTATAAAAAAATCACAAGAAGGTACTATTTCACTCATCTAATATGATCTAAATGCTTTTTTGAAGATCAATGTAATTTATGATAATGATCTGCCAAAAAGTTCACATTGGACTGTATGAAGAGTAATCTCCTGACTATTGATCAGCCTCAGGTTTTATTTCCTTCCCTCAGCCAATTTTTCAATGCCTTCGCAGCAGTTTAAATGTAATTACAAACATCTGGTCCCACTGAAGTCTCCTTAATTTTACAGTTATTGCTCAAGCTCCAGACGTTCTTTTTAGAAGTGTGATTTTATTGTTCATTTAGTAGAAATGAGGCAACTCTGAGTGCAATATGGTTGCCGTGAAATAAGTAATTTCTGGTAACCCATAGAGACAATGTTGACTACTTTGTTCTTGGTAAATACATGTGCATTTCCCTTGAATATATTACTTGGAGATAGTATTTACTTTTTTCCAGCCATAAAAAGGGGAAGTGAAAGAAGTTAAGATTATTGGAAAAGATGTATGCTATTTTTATGTTCATATGGTTGGTTCATGTTCCTGTTTCTGTATTAATTATTAAGCAGGTAGCTCCCATGATTTTTCTCTGAAGTAAGAAATGCTTTTCTTTAATATCTTACAATATTCTGGTATCTCATAGCATCTATACAGAACAAGCATTAAAAATTATTAAAATTCTTGGAAGACTTAGATATCCCTAAATCTTTTGACACCTTTGAAGAAAAAGGTCTTACTGGGTGGAACAATAAGCACATGCAAAAAATCACTGTTAGCAGAATGCAAAGAAATTGCGTTTGGGGACCTAGTATATCAGGGTTGGAATCCTAGCCACTCCGGGAGATAGCCATGTAATCCTCATGGAGGAATTTCCTCTCTGAGCCTCTTTACTTTTAACAGTAGCACCGATAAAACTCATCAAATCCTGTTGTGATGATTTAATGCAATCAATGAGGATTAAGCAACCAGTACAGTGCATTACTCATAATAGATGCATAACCAACATTTCTGCCTTTCTTTATCAACAAGAAAATATAGCATGTAGCTTTATTTGGCAATTTTCTCGATCTGCTTCAAAAGAAATTTTGTTCAAAAATTTGCAGCATGGCAGTTTTAAATAAAACTACATTTATATTATGCACATTGATTATCACTAGGATTTTAGGGAGTTTTTAAGTCTCAATTTAAATGGAAAAGTCATTGTGAGGAGATGTTATGATAAAAGTGAAATACCTAAACTTTTTCTTATTACTGTATTGAAGAATGTGCTCATGTAAGATTTAAGGTAGAATGTCAACTTGTATGGTATAGTAATGGTGCCATTACTATTTTACTTCCTAGATAAACACACCAAGCATATTTTCTTTACTCATGAATATGTCTGAAGTTGGCATTTGTGGCCTTTTCATTTCATTTTCATTTTTTAAGTAATGCTAGAAAAAAATTCAGCTTATACACATTTGCTGTATTTATTATAATAAGTAATGAAATTCTAAAACGAGATACATTTTATGATATTATTAATTTCTTGATTTGTTTATTATTTTCAACATCTCAGAATCCTGTAACATTGATAGTTCTATTGCTGATGGTTGTTTCTTAAACAAGAAAACTAGGGAGAAAATAAATGATTTGTCCAAGGCCACATGATATGTAAGTGTTGGAACCACAAATGGAAACAAAGGGATTTCATATTCTGCCTTTTAGTCCATCTCAATTTCTGTTGCATTATGTGGCAAAGTTTCTTCACCCTAAATCATACATAACCACAGCAAACAATTTTTTTACTTTTTATTTTTTGAGATGGAGTTTCACTGTATCGCCCAGGCTAGAGTGCAATGGCACGATCTCAGCTAACTGCAACCTCTGCCTCCTGGGTGCAAGCGATACTCCTGCCTCAGCCTCCTGCGTAGCTGGGATTACAGGCATGCACCACCACAACTGGCTGATTTTTTTGTATTTTTAGTAGAGATAAGGTTTCACAATGTGTTGGGGTGATCAGACTCAACACCAGGTCGTGGGGGCAATGAAATCAGGAGAGTCAAAGGAATGAGAAAATATAGTTTGAAGGAGAAAGTGGGTCCAGGGGGTCAATGCAAGTATGGAGGTTGTGAAGGCGCTGAGCTCCAGAAGCCCAGACTATTTATTGGTGATCAAACTAAGAAACAGGTGGTGACAATGTGGGGCTGGAAAGGGCAAGTGCATGATTTACAGCTGTGACAGTTTAGCATTTCCTTTGAAGCATATGGAACATATTCTGCTACTTGAGATAATGGAGAGCAGGTTCTTTTAACTTAAGATGCAATTGATCCTGGGAGAGCAAGGAGCAAGGATCCAGCAAGTCTAGACACATTCCAGAGGCCGTGAGGGGTTTTATGCCTCGAGCCCTGGATTCTCTCCAAGCCACAAGGGGTTTTATGCCCTGGGTTTAGATTTTGGTGCATCAGCACAGCCTTCCACCCTTTGGCATAGAGCTTGGTGTTCCAAAGGCAACGAGAGGTTTTAGACCCTGGCTCCGGACATTTTCCAACACTCTTTTACATTATGTCAGGCATGCAAGCCCTGCCTCAGCTTCTCCCACCACTCAGCTTCTCTCAACACCATATTGGCTGCAAACAATTTTAGAGTCATGCTAGAAATGTTTTTTAAACTATGTTACTTATTGGTGTCTAGGCTGTATAGTATTTGCAACTCATTTCTTCACTTTATAGTTTTATTTTTGACTGATACTGCTTAATATTTAGGATCCTGTATATTAAAAATTAAGTAAATGAAGGTAATTTATGTATTCAAATATGAGTAGATATAATTCATTTTTGTTCTTTAATTTCCTCTTAAATACAATTGATGACAGGAAGCTTTGTAGAATTCAGACGTATATAATATTCTAATACAGCATTCTGGTTGTGTTACCCAAATATTCATGCTGTGCGTTGTCCTGAGGAAATCTGAGGGCGGAAGGAGAGTCTGAGTAATTATTATTTAGAGAGAACCAACCAGGATAATAAAATAGTTTGGCAGAGGCCGGGCGCGGTGGCTCAAGCCTGTAATCCCAGCACTTTGGGAGGCCGAGACGGGTGGATCACGAGGTCAGGAGATCGAGACCCATCCTGGCCTACACGTGAAACCCCCGTCTCTTCACTAAAAAAAAAAAAAAAATACCAGAAAACCTAGCCGGCGCGATGTGGCGGGCGTCCCTGTAAGTCACCGGTCTACTCGGGAGGCTGAGGCAGGAGATGGCCGTGAACCCAGGGATGGTAAACGGAGCTTGCAGTGAGACTGAAGAATTCCGGCCACTGCACTCCAGCCTGGGCAGGGCAGAGCGAGACTCTCGTCTCCAAAGAAAAAAAAAAAAAAAAAAAAAATAGTTTGGCAGAATTGAGGCAAGACATTGACTAACAAGCAAAGAAATTGAAATCAAAGTCTGAGAGTTGAGTCAGTATTTTTGAGTTGAGACAAATATGGGTTTGAATTGTAACTCCTCTACCCATTACCTCTGTGATAGTTGGTATAAGGGTTATTTTCCACTCTGGAAAAACAAAAATTTTGACTTCCAAAGCTCATTTGGTTTCAAAAGTTTAGTTTTTTGTTTGTTTGTTTGTTTGTTTGTTGTTGTTGTCATTTTGAGATGAAGTCTCGCTGTGTCTCCCAGGCTGGAGTGTAGTGGCATGGTCTTTGCTTACTGCAACCCCCGCCTCCCAGGTTCAGGTGATTCTCCTACATGAGTCTCCCAAATAGCTGGAATTACAGGTGTGCGCCACCACACCTGACTAATTTTTGTATTTTCACAAGAGACAGAGTTTCACCATATTGGCCAGGCTTGTCTCGAACTCCTGACCTCGGGTGATCCACCCACCTCGACTTCCCAAAGTGCTAGGATTACAGGTATAAGCCACCGTGTCTAGTTGGTTTCAAAAGTTTTGAATCAGGCACTGTGGACTTATACCTAACATATGTCAGCCTCTGCTTCCAAAACTACCTGAATGTATTAGTCAGGGTTTCTCCAGAGAAATAGAATCAATATGTATATATACATGTATATATGTGTATATATAGAAAGCTATGTATTATATATGTAATATATGCTATTTATATATAATATATAACTACATATTATATAGATATATGAATGAAGAGTTTTAGTTTAAGATATTGGTTAATGCTATTATGGAGGCTGAGAAGTCCCAGGATCTGTGAACTGCAAGCTGGGGACCCAAGAAAGCCCATATTGATGATGTAGATTCACACCAGGGTCTGATGGCTTGAGAACTAGGAGCACCAAAGACAGAAGATCAATATGTGAGCTCAAGTATTCAGGCAGAGCAAATTCAGCTCTCCTACACCTTTTTATTCTATTTAGACCCTCAACAGATTAAATGATGTCCACCCACATTGGGGAGAGTCATTTGCTATACTCAGTCTAGCAATTCAAATGCTGTTCTCTTCTGGAAATCCCTTTGCAGACACACTCAGAAATAATGTTTAACTGGCTATCAAGGCATCCCATGGCCCAGTCAAGTGGACACATAAAATTAATGTCACACAGAGCTACTAAGTCGTTGTGAATATAAAATGATATAATCCATGTAACTCACAGTGTCTAGTAAACAGTAAGCATTAAATAAATCTGAATCATTACTATTATAGTAAAGCTTTCTCAATATCAGGCCTGCCTACTTTTTTCTAATAAAATTGTCTAAGCTTTATTTTATCTGTAATTCAGTGAAATTCCCTTTTCCTCCCAACATACATTTTCAGCCAAGGCATCGGAAATTTGATTCTACCATTCCTTATTTCCCTCCTGCTCTCTGTTTCTCTATTTTGGCATCTTTCTTTCTTTCCTTCCTTCTCTCTCTGTCTTTCCTTTCTTTTCCTTCTCACTACGTTGCTGGCCTTGGACTCCTGGGTTCAAGCAATCCTCCCTCCTCAGCCTGCCAAGTAGCTGGGACTATAGGTGAACACTACAGTGTCCACCCAGCTGTTTTGGTTTTCTTAAGACAAAATATTTAGTAACTTTTATTTTGGCAGTTAAGGTATCACCAAAATAGAATGTTTAGTGGCACTAAAAGTCTTAAAAACTGGACCTATCTGAAGTATAAATGATAATGTTAATGTATTAGTTACATAAATGATAATGTTATCATTTACACTTCAGATATCAACAGTTTATAAAATCGGAACAAATTAGAGTTTACAAAATAAAAACAGAGTTTGTAAAATTAGACAAAACACATCCTGAGAGTTTTAAAAAGTCAAGAAAAAAAGCAGCTCCAGATAGGAACAGATGAAAAGCTCACGGTCTCATCTGTAGTGTCCTGGGAAAGAAAAACAGGCAAAACCTGACAGGTTTCCATTATGATCAACTTTTGCTGTAGTGAAACTTCTTAAGCTAACCCCAGTTTAACAACAACAACAAAAAGTACCTCTCACAAACAGCAATATTTACCACCCACCACTCCCTGGCGTTGACGGAAGCACCTGAGTGTGGAAGAATTTCAGGAAGCAACTAGCAATTGTTACCCCAAGAAACTGCTGGCTAGAGAGGAAGAGATAGATTCACCCACAGACATACTTGCTTAGGTCCCAGTGAGGCAGTAGAACCTGATTATTTTTAGATAGAAGTTTGTATTTGCTACTTTGTAAAAGAAGGTAAAAACAGACATCATGGGAAAGTTATGAATGTTGGCCAATCTAAAATTTATCTGTGATTAATAATTTTAAAAAAATTATTGAGTTACATGTTGTGGAAAACACCATTATCATTGTGAGCTTAACATTGCTAAAGAATTTAAATCAGACCAGAGTGTAGGCATCCATGGATTTATACATGGAACTTTCCTCATTTTCCTCCTCTTTCACTTTATTTTGTGCAACGGCAGTATCAGTTATCTACACCACGGATAGAGTCCAAATTTACGAGGGCAATCCTAGAGGCTTGTTTATTGTCAGGCCCCTTGTATTGGTCTTTCCCAGTTGTATCTTGATGGTCAAGAATTCCAACTGTCAGTGTCTCTCTATCTGATAACATTTGCTTAGAACTTTTCAAATGGCACCGTTTACAAGATACAGTACCAAAGAAAATTCTGAGACAGGGGAAAAAAAGTATTGTGGTAGTTACTGAATCTGAAAGTATAAGATGATAAACCTCATTAAAAATCTATAATATTTCTTCTTTGTATTTCTTCGTTATTTAGATGATACAACTCAGTTCTTAACATTTTAAATTTTGTATTTGTTTAAAAATATTTTTAGTTTGACTAAAAACTGGCCACATAAATATATTCGTGTGCATACTTGACTTTTATATGTATGTGTAAATATATGTATATGTATATAATATACATGATATATGTTAGAAAAAAGGAAAGTAGACAAAAGAAATTCTATCTTTTGCACACAATAATATCCTCAGCAGATACTATTTGCCTCATGCAGTTCTGGCTTTTAATACAAATTGTGACCTTTTCCTCTGACTTATTCTGAAATCATGGAGGACTTCATAATAGTAGAGGGTGAACTAAATAGCAATTTAACATTTTCAATTCTTTTGGGAATTTTCTCTTAGCAAAGAGATGAGCAGAAATGGTATTTATGACTAAGATGCTATTTTGAAATAAATAGAAGTGTGAAATATTATAGATGCCATTATAAAATGCAAATGTCACAGCAGAGTGGATTAGAAGTTGAGGTCTCAGCTGGATTTTTCTGAAACCTCTTGCTTTGTAAAGATAAATTCTGGTAAACTGTTTTTCTTCTTACTATTAGTAAGCCACTTTGCATAACCCATAGCTATGCTAGTCTTACACAAATGATGACCCTTGTTTAAAATTTCCCAGAGAATATTTATTAATTGACTTAATACCAAAGCATTTTAAAGTTTAAAATCGTGTGTTGTTGATTGTTATTTACAGGGTAGGATTAGATAAAATAAGAGAGGGAAGGTGGATTGAAAGCCGGGAATCAATTGCAAAGATGCAAGAGGTGAGGAAAGGTAAAAGGAGGAAAGACAGGACCTGCTGTTTGAGATGAGGTGGTAGAGGTGGTGCTGGTGTTTGAAACCCCAACTCTGTATGAAATAGATGAGACAGTCTCATCTGATGACCACTCAAGCAACATATCTTATTTTCTCCTAAAATACTAACATGGACTTAAAATGCATTTCCAGGCCAGGTGCGGTGGCTCATGCTTGTAATCCCAGCACTTTGGGAGGCCGAGGTGAGCAGATCACTTGAGCTCAGGAGTTCAAGACCAGCCTGGACAACGTGGTGAAACCCAGCCTCTACTAAAAATACAAAAATTAGCCAGGTGTGGTGGCAAGCGCCTGTAGTCCCAGCTACTCGGGAGGCTGAGGCAGGAGAATTGGTTGAAACCAGGAGGTAGAGGTTGCAGTGAGCTGAGATTGCGCCACTGCACTCCAGACTGGGCGACAAAGGGAGACTATGTCTCAAAAAATAAAATAAAAATAAAATACAATGCATTTCCATGTGTCTCTCTCCTCACATTACTATTTCTAGAGCCCAGGCCTCCTTTGTACTCATTTTATCTATGCTTTTTCTGACTCTAAAAAAACACATGTTAACCAATATTAAAATTCAAAAACATTCATTGAAAAGGCATTTTAATTGATACTTACATTTGAAATTTTATTTTAGCAGTGACATGTCACATTCAGGCTGCAGAACTTTCACCAAACTAGGTCAATTAAGCTGAGGCAGGCCTGCCAATTGTGTTCTTGAATCAGAAATGCTTATCTAGGAAAGCCAGGTAGTTACCATGGAGAACAGAGGTTCCAGACAGCATGTGATTAGTGAAATGGACATTTCATTTTATGTGAGCAGAAGTTATTATTCGTTTTTGGTTAGCTGGGGGTTTTGTTGCAATTACATTGCCCAGTTGGAGATAAACTAATGTCACTTAGTATCTGCGTGTAAGTAATGGTTTTGTCTCAAAATATTGTGTCACAAAATAGCACAACAGAAAGGTAGCAGTGCATGAAATATGTGTAGGAGTGAGGCAAGAGAATGTAAAGGCAGAGCCTGACATGTACTGTGATTACCCAGATCACTGTGATCAATCGCTAAAGAGCCAATTCTGTAATTCAGAAGCAAGTCTAAAAAACAGTGTTAGCAAAGTGTTAAACCTTTACAAATAACAATTTTATAATACAGGTAATTAACACTTCTTGGAGAAAAAGAAAAGTATAAGAGGCAAAAGAAACAAGCAAACAAACAAAACAACCTATGATTTAATTACCCAGAGTTAATTATGTACCACTATATTTGGGGGTATATTTAGCTTCATTATTTGTTATATGTGCATTTTTATTTAGTAAAAATAATTTTATATGTGAAGTATTATACTTTTCTTCTTTATATTGAAACAGAAGCATATTTATAAGTTCATTATAAACTTTCATTAGCATTATTTTAATAGCAAAACATACTTATTAAATGGACGTGCCAAATTTTATTTAACAATGCCGTTTATTGTAATATATTTGAATTACCTCTAGTTTGTCACTTTTACAGACATATTTGGCCATATGAATTCTTCCGTTAATTCTGAATTATTTTCTTAAACTAAATTTCTAAAAATGAAATTATAAGACAGTAAATGTGATAAAGATTGTAAAAGCCTCTTCAAAAAAAGTATTAAGCTGCTTCCAAAACAGCAATTTACATATTCATAGAAAGAGTATAGGTATTCATTTCAAATGTATGTCTATATACAAAGAATAAAAACATTTGACTAAAGGTTATAATTCATTTTGCATTTCTTTTTATCAGTGATAAATTTTTAAACTGTTTTTTAGTCATTTTATTTTTTCCTCTTAGTAAATTATTTATATATTGACCCATTTTACTACTGGAGACTTCCGTGCTCTTCTTCACCAATTTTACAAACATTTTACAAAGTATCCCCTTCATGAAAACTTCAGCAAATATTGTGCTATGTTTTTATCCAATTATTATTTTGTTTGGGATTTTTGACAAACTGAAGTTTCTGCTATTTATTTTGCGTATTTTATCTGATACTCTCTTGTGGCATCTTCTAATTTTAAGCTTAGAAAATTTTCTTTGATTCTGAGATTTGTTAAGTATACGTTTTTTCTTTCTACTACATTTCGTAGTACTTTTTTTTTTTTTTTCACATTTATCTCTCTAGTCCATCTGGAATGTAGTTCGTTGAGCAATGTTTCATTAGTCAGGAATTTTTTTCTATCATGAATGATCACACTGTTTTGGACTAAAGTGGGCACATTTATTAATCCATAAAAGTGAGAATGGAAACCTTGTAACTGGGGATAAGAGTAGCTGGGACCGGATGCCACCAGGATGCTTTTCCCATCATTTTTTCCTTGCATGCTAGCTTCTTTTTCTCCTTGAGCTTGGGAAGTGGTGACCAGCCATTCATATTTTCACAGCTTTGCCACCTGAAAGTAAACCCCTCCCCAATAAAATATTATTAATAAAGGATGTCAGTTGTCACAGCATGGTTTACTTAACCCCCGTGTCCAAGGTGAGAGATGGGTACCAGTATTAGCAGCCCCCACTGGAACCACATGGCTCAAGGGGGAGGGAAGTAATTTATCCAAAAGGGTAAGATTCCCACAATTAACAAGAAAAGAAAAGAAGTTGAATGGAAAGAAAGGCATTGGCGCTGAGATGAGAGCCTTTCAAATGAGACTTTCCTTCAGTGTTCACTTTGACTTTGTTTCCTTGTTTGAGATTTATGAGGGTTCCTAATCACACTCCCATTCCTCCCATTAGTCCCTCTTACCCAGGATTTGGAGCCAACTGAGAAATAAAAGAAGGACATCAGACAGATGGTGATTAGCACATTGATTGTATTGCTTATAATATTGTTTGGGAGAAAACAGCATGTTTATTTCCCAACAATTGAGTTCTTATTGTGAAACTTCTAAATTAAACCTACACCTTCACGCTTCAGGCCTGCACTTAGTAAGAACAGAACTCCTTGATAAGCTTAGTACATGAACTAACAGAAAATCCAAGCATCCTCTCAAGAACCGGCAGACCCAAGTGTAGAGGACATCTTTCCTGAGATAGCGGGTAGAATGAAACTAGAATTAAGATCTCTGGAGAATATCTAATGTGTTGACAAAAGGAGAAGAATCCTTGAGTCTTCACAAAAAATTGGGGTAGAGTATTTTGGCGAGGTAAGAGAAGAACAAGAGGAGGGGGGATTCTGCAGCTGAGCCTAGTGTTTGTGTAGATACTGTGACCATTTAAATACACAGCAATGATCATTATCATTTTATCATGTCACAGCAACTAATGTGGTGGCATGGAATACACCAACATCTGCATTTTTAAAGGGGCAATATGGTACAATGACTTCAAATCTGTGTCTTCTACAACATAAGGAAAGTTTGGAGCCTAATGATATATCTTTGGAGCCTGATGTTCTCACATGGTTACTTTCATTTAGGAAAATCAAATTAAGATTTAACATTTAACACTTGCTATTTTTCATGCTGCCACTTCATACTGTCACTTCTAAATTTAATGTTTGGGTCTCAAAAGTGCCATGCCAAATTTTGGTTTGCTACCACTTTGGTTTTGAGTTTAAAGTTTTTTGCATTCATGTCTTTTAAAGCCCATTTTTTAATCTTGTATCAACTACAAACTTGTTGAATCTTTTTTTTTTTTTTAGAGACAGTGAAAGATTTTATTTTTCTTTTACTTTCATCCAAACACACCCTTTCCCGAGAAACATAAAGGCATGCACAATTATGACGTTCTTATGAAGAAAAATTAATAACTAAACTATAAATCAACACTAATAATACAAAGTTTAAATGATAGGTGAAAAGATTTACAGGTAGGTATAGGGCTCTTAATTTTAGAAAATAATTATAGTCAATATCAATACAGGTTAAGGAGAAGCTTCTAATTTTCCAAACACTTGAATCTTAAAACATGTGGGTACATACATATACGTATCATATATACAGATTTCTATCTTGCGTTCATGGATTATGTAGGTAGCTAACGTATCTGAGCCACTATCCAAAGATGAAAAAATAAGCTATTTAAAAGCATCTTACGAGTACATAACTTTATTGTAGTCTCATTTCAAGATTGTAATCATTGAAATTTTCCAAAGGGTTCTGTCTTTTAAGTGAGGAATGTGAAACACAGGAGACTAAGAACAATGAGAGCTGTACATGCAGATGCAAATGAGGACAAGATAGAGAGATGTCTAAAAGGGAATGCCTTGAAAAATGGTGAGGTGCAAGTGAAGTCATGTCTACATTTTTATGGTTTTAATGCACCCCTAGTAGGCATTTGCATACATTTTGGCTCTCTATTCTATGGATGATTGATTCGGCTTTGCATAGAATGTCATTTCATTACAGCTGTAGTTCTCTCAGAAATAAAACTTTTCATATTTGGTCCTTTATTTTTCTCACAAGAGGTGACAAACAGGAAAGTTTTAAATACATTGATTTAATCTGGTGATTGTGCTTAATATAGGGTTTACTTATAGACCACTGACTCTTCTTCCAGATATTTTCATATTCTTTTAGTTCAATATTTCTATGGAACAGTGGTTTACAAACTTTTGTGTGCGTCAGAATCCCCCGGTGAGCTTGTTTAAAGTATCATTTGTCCCCAGCCTGTGAATCCTTTAGTAGGTCTGGGATGGAGCCTGGGAATTTGCATTTCTGTGAAGTTCCCAGATTATATTAATGCTGGTTTGAGAACCACACTTAGAAAGCCAGTGCTGTAGGAAATTGGCTGTGGCTCGAAAATGGAGGTATTTGATGTGCTTGCTTTTTAAAAGTTTCTGTTTTGGGTTCTAAAGTGAACCATGTCTCTAGATGGTGGCTGATTATTGTGAAAATGTGAGAGACTTGTGGGAATATGGTTTTATTAGCAAGTGAAGATGTCTATGAGTACTTTTGTTGTAGTTCTATAATGACAGTTCTTTAACAGATCATTTCACTATGATCTATTTGACTCAAGAGCTGCATCTCAAGAATTATTTTTTTCTCAGTCAATAGTGAACCTTAAACATTAACTTGTCTAGAAAAGAAAGGGTATACTGGGAAAAATAAATAAATAAAAACATGTCTGCCATGTCACATGTCTTAAGAGCATGCTCTTTGAAGCAGCTGTTGTTTCAGCTGCAGAAGTCAGAAATTCAGTGCTTGGTTTACAAGTGATTTCAAGCAATTCTTCTAAGATGGTCTTATATTTGTGTAACTTTAAGAATATACCTATATAGAAATATTTTGCCAAAGTATACTCTTGACTTGCTATTGGGATCAAACACTGTATTTTCTTTTCTTTTTGTTTTCCTTCTCCAAATCCACATGGAATTGAAATCGAAAGATGCAAAAGACCATTACAATGAGAGAAAAAAATAATTGACTTTAGCTGTAGGTAAAAATCCCTACTAATTTTTATTATTACTATTATAATCTCAAGGGGACACTATGCTTGAGCTATGTACATAGTATCACATGAAAGAGAATATGCTTGCAAAGCTAAAGCATTTAATTAAAATGCAAAGTTTAAAGATACCTATGGATTCAGGATAGTGAATGAGTATATTCTTTAATAATATGTTTTACAGCCGGACAGTGGCTCATGCCTGTAATCCCAGCACTTTGGGAGGCCCCGGTGTGTGGATCATATGAGCTCAAGAGTTCAAGATCAGCCGGGCCAACATGGTGAAACCCCGTCTCTACTAAAAATACAAAATTAGCCAGGTGTGGTGGTGCACGCCTGTAATCCCAGCTACTCGAAAGGTTGAGGCAGGAGAATCACTTGAACCCAGGAGGCAGAGGTTGCAGTGAGCTGAGATCAGGCCATTACACTCCAGACTGGACACAAACAGTGAAACTCTATCTCAAAAAACATTAATAATAATATGTTTTACATTGAGACAATATTATTTTTAAATAGTCACAAATAACTTCCCAATGATGTGTGTAACCATGTGAACAACTCCTTCCAGAAATTGCAACCAGTGTATTTCAGCAAGAATTCAACAGATTTAAATATATAGGGAGTCAGAAGAAACTCTTTAAGATGAGGCTTGATAAATGTGAGTCAGATAGTGAATGAGTACCTCCTTTATCACTTGAGTGTGCCATCAGAAGTCATTTCTGCTATGTGAAAGAAAAGTTCTAAATCACTATTAGAATAGTCAGGATAATAACTCTCTGTAACATAACATTCACTGTGATTAGAACAAAGCACCTAGATACCTTAACTGATCTATGCTTAGCATTCTCGCCACAGGAAAGAACAACATTTTGTTATCTATCTTTCTTTTATAAATGCAATAAGGCCCTGGTAGCAATATGTACAAAGTTACAGAGTATAAGCCCTGGGCCAATCAAGTGAAATTTTGGTTGATGGTTTTCTCTCAAGGATCGAATATGTCTAATGTATATTCAAAGTTACCTTTGCTTTCCAATTTCATATATTCTCTCTGATACAGAAAGCCTCTTAAAAATCCTCCTGTAAAAAACATTGCAGTTATAACAAAAGCTGTTTGAGGATTCAAAAGGAAATGGTTACTTCTGTAAAATACACAAATAGCCTTAGTAATCCAAAAATACAACCATTCAACATATTAATTACTGAATTAAGATAATATGAAGTAAATTACAGTCTTTTGAAATGTGTTTGATTTTTATTACCATATCACTTTA